GAAGCATATGAAATGCTTTTCATTTGCTCCTTTTCCAATACATTTTGTAGACATTAATTCAATGAGAATTTATCACCTTTAATTATGGGTGTTGTTATAGGTAAACAGTTCTTCATTTCGAATCTTTCTAGAATTCTTTCAATGTAGGCCCTTTGAGATGGTCCAAGTAATCTTTGGGATCTATCTCTGCGAATCTCTATGCCAATGACATAAAAGGCTTCACTCATATCCTTCATCTCAAAATTATGGATAAGGAACTTTTTAGTCTCGTGCAACAACCCTAAATCACTACTTGCAAGTAAAATATCATCCACATATAGGAGTAGAAAAATATATTTGCTCTCACTTATCTTCAGATATATACACTGATCAATGATGTTCTCCGTAAATATAAATGAACAAACAACATTACGAAATTTAATATACCATTGACAGAAAGCTTGCTTTAGCCCATAAATGGAATTATTTAACTTGCAAACAAGGTGACTTTTTTATGGTAGGCTAGGAGCTCATGTTTTTAACTATATTTTGCACCCTAATTACTACACTTTATTTGTATTTCAGCTTAATTTTTAGTACTTTATACTTATTACGTGTATTATACTTTGTAGGAGATGATTTCGCGTAATGAGCAATTTTGAAGCTAAGTTGGATGATTGGGAGCTTTGAAGTCTGAGTAAAAACCCAATGGATTAAATCAAAATCGCATTCGGAGATTGAGGATCAAGTCTGAAGGTCAAAAATTGAGAAAAGTTCCTACTTCGAGAAAAATGCATTACCGCGCCGGGGGCGCTAGTGTAAAATTTCATGCAGAGTGAAAAATTAGCTCTCTGAAAAACCTCATGTGTGCGGCGCATGGGGTGCCGCATGGGGCAGTGCGCTACTACAAAATAGTGCCCAACTTTTTCCACTTTGATTTAGAGAGGGTAGTTTTGTCAGGACCCGTTCCTACTTGGTATAAATACATTGGAAATACGTTTTTGAAGGGACTTTTACTTAGGGAGTTGTTGGAGAGAATTGGAGGCTTCAAGACACAAGATTTCATCATCCTTCCATCAATTCAATACGGGAATTTGGATTGTGACGTTGGATTGATATTTTTTTTTATTCTTTAACTCTATTTATGATTACTTACTCTATGATTATGGAGTAGTTTACCTTAGGGTTTGACATGATTTGGTGACTTGATTGTTATCTATGGATTTGATTATTATTTGATTGCTTGAATTTGTTGGAGGGGCTTGAACTCTAGTAGTGATTTTATTCATTATCGTGTTTAATCGGAAGGGGAGCATAATATTGAATATTGTGCAATGCATGCCTTAATTTATTTTGGTACCTCTTCGAAATAATCGAAAGAGCTTTGTGATCTACCGTTTGAATTAAGATTGAGAAATATTCACGAGAAGTTTCTCTTAGACTATTCTTACCAATAGATTCTTGCAAGTTTTACCGCACTTCATATTAGCTTATTTGACCGGTTTTGGGTTTATTCGAGAGATGAACCTAAATCAGAATAATAGGGTAATAACCTGTTAAATTTGTGAGAATCAATAGAATATTAAGAGTGAAATTTAACAGTGTCAAATCTAGGATAGCATTCTTGCACTCTCATATCAAAACCCTTATTCGTCGTATTGATAATAACTCATTGCTCTACTTTCTAGTTCTCTATGATTAACTTTTACTTGATTTAATTTTAATTTGTTAGTTGTAGCATTAATCATCCCAAATCAAAGTGGTGAATATCCTGAATAATATTTAACCTAGAAATTACTTGGACATTATTTTAATTCAATCCCTGTGGAGACGATATTTTACCATACTATATTTGGTTAACGAGCATTAATTTTGTGTTGTGTATTTGCGCTTGTCACTTTTGTCCTTATCAAAAATCCTTCAGAATGATGCATGTATACCTCCTCTTTAAGATCACTGTTTAGGAAAGTCGTTTTTACATCCATTTGATGTAGCTCTAAATCAACTACTAACTCCCTAATTATTCTCAATGAATCATTCTTTGATAGTAGAGAGAAGGTTTCATGGTAATCAATACCTTCTCTCTGAGTGAAACTTTTGGCCATAATTCTGGCTTTACATCGTTCGATATTACCCGATAAGTCTATTTTGGTTTTAAAACGCATTTGGATCCAATAATAGAGGCGCTCTTTGGTAATTCAACGAGATCTCAGACTCTATTTTTAGCCATAGATTTTAACTCATCTTTCATGGCATCATACAAAAGTGCGGAGTTTTCTCCACTCATGACTTGTGAAAACGAGCACAGATCATCTTTTAGTCCAATATTATAATCAGACTCTTGGAGATATACAACGTAGTTACAAGAAATTGTTGATTTTCGAACTCTTGAGTATTTTCTTACTCCCACTTATTCAGACACTTCTTCAGCGGGTTCAGGTATAACGGGTTGATCTTCATGTGGCTCCTCAAGTGGTAGTGACTCCTGAACTTGTTTTTGTTCGGATAATTCATGAGATTTTTTATGAGAAATATTCAAGTTCCCAATATACAAAGGTTCCACTTTTTGCGTCAAACCATTCCCACTTTTTTCACGTTCCTCAAGAAATTTAGCGTTTCTAGCCTCAATAATTGTAGGAGAATGAGAAGGACAATAAAACCTAAATTCCTTAGAGTTAACCACATAGCCTACAAAACAACCGCTTATTGTTCTTTCATCCAGCATCTTTAGTTACGGGTTATAAACCTCCACTTCAATTGGACATTCCCAAACGTGTAAATGGTTTAAATTAATTTTTTTATCTTCTCTATAAATTAAAAGGTGTCTTGGAGAGAACCTTAGATGGAACCCTATTTAAAATATAGCAATGGTTTTTAAGGCTTCAGTCCATAAAAATAAAGGTAGACTTGATCTGCTAATCATGCTTCTTAGCATGTTCATTAGTGTCCGATTTCATTTTTCTGTTACACCATTTTATTGTGGTGTTCCTGGCATATATTGGGCAATTATACCTCTACTTTTAAGGAACTCAATAAATGGACGCTTAACTTATCCCTCATCTATGTACCTACCATGATATTTTTTACCCCTATCAGGTCTTACAACTTTAATCCGAGCACCAGTATGTTTCTCAAATTCTATTTTGTAAATTTTAAAGGCATCAAGTGCTTCTAATTTGTTAAATATAATATATATATCTTGAATAGTAATGGATAAATGAGATAAAATATCTCTCACTATTCAAGCAATGGATAGAAAAAGGTCCATAGATGTCTGTATGTATGATCTCAAGCAATTGAGAACTCCTTTTGGCACGTTTAATTGATTTATTGGTCTGCTTACCCATTATGGAGTCCACACAAGTTCCAAAATCTCTAAAATCAAGAGCTTTTAGAACTTTATTATTAACCAACCTTTTGACTCTATCAATAGAGATGTGCCTCAATCTCTTGTGTCAAGACTTGATGAGTTCTTCTTGATAATATATCACTTAGTGCAAATTTATTTGTCATGCAAAGTTAAAATTTTATATTTAAATGGGGGTCTAGTTCAAGTTTATGTAAATTTCGATTCAAATTTTCAAAACCAACAACTTTATTGTCTTTCAAAAGTTTCATACAAAGATATTGAAAATTTAAATCATATCTACTAATTGATAGTCTTGAAAGAGAAACTAAATTTCTAGAATATTCTGGAACATAAAAAGTATTTTCCAAATCTAAGTGAAAACCATCCTTCAAAATAACATATAAGTCCCCGCGTCTTCCATACGTGAACATGTCCTATTTCCAGAATAGACGTATCGTTCACTTTCTATCAGCTTCCTCTGAGTTAGAAAGCCCTGCATGATTTTGGTAATGTGAATCGTAGCACTAAAATCATTCCACCATGTATTATCCGAAATTTCAGTAAAATTAGATTCATAACATACAAAAGTAAAATTACCTTTCTTTTCGAGCCATTTCTTGTATTTCAGACAATATTTTTTCTAGTACCTCTTCTTACAGAAATGGCAAGCATCTTTGTCAAAAGTTCCTTTCTTCTTCATGGGAACACTTTTACCCTTCTTTGCATTTCTCTTATTATGAGTCACCAAATTAACACTTTCAGGTGTCTCATACTTCAACCTCTCTTCTTTTTGAACATACATGGTCAAGAGTTTATTGATTGACCATTTATCCTTATGTGTGTTGTAGGAAATCTTGGACGAACCATATTCAGCAAGAAGTGAATTGAGGATGAAATGCACAAAAAACGGTTCAAACATATCAACCTCAAGGGACTTAAGTTTAGCAACAATGTCTCTCATCTCCATAATATGCTCACGCACTGTACGACTTCTGCAAAAGTCATAAGGGTGATGGTCAATGCCTTGTCAGAGCTTACGAATTGTTCATCAATTGCCTTCATATCAACTTTGACCTTATCGCTATTAGGGATAGAACCCCTATTGCTTTGGCTTATGTGGGCTTTTATGGGCATTAAACTTAAGCGATTGGATCGCTCCCACTGCTCATAATTAGCCTTAGCATCTAGCATACTTGATCCCGTGTGAATAGATGGTTCTTCCACACGGAATGCCAAATTCAAATCCGAGCACTCTAAAGTAAGAAGGATTTTCTTCTTCCATTCAGCATAATCACCTGAAAGCATTAGAATTCAAATATTTTTATTAAAAATGGCTATATGAAAAGTTGTAAAGACTGCAAAACAAGGACAAACATACATAAGCTAAGAAGTACAATCCATCAAACGCGTAAAATACCGATTCTAAGTAAATTCTAGACCCTCATATTGACAGAGATTGCAACCCATACATAAAATTTACTTTACTTTATTAGACTAGTAAACAAAAACATAAAAATTAATCGTATAATATGCTACTCACAACCTTGACCCTGCAATAAAAGGGAAAAGGAAGAAGGAAGAAGAAAGAAGGAAGAAAAAGAAAAATCAATCTTTGTTGCTCTTTGTTTTTCTTCCTTTAGGATTTTCACTCACTAATTATGTGAGGGTTATAATGCTCAAACTGATTATGTTAGTAATTAATAATTAATGAATTGTTATGTGATGCTCAACAATAAAAGAATTATTATGATGTGATTAATAACGAAAGGATTATTATACATGAATTACTTATTTTTAAAATGATATTTTATTTTTAAATAGTTTAAATAGTAGAATAGCTAACACAAGGACAAATACTATTCTCCATCTTTCTCCCCAACTTTCCCCCAAATTCCAAAAATTAGAAAAATCCAATTCCTAATCCAATTTCTATATTGTACATGTGAAAGACAAAAACCCTAATTTCGTTGATTCAGTTTTCATTTCAGCCTCGTATTACATATCTCTCTCTCTTTCCCCTTCCCCTTTCTGACTGTCTATATCCAATTTTTCCAATATCTCTCCGTCTCTCTCTCTCCCCGCGTTTTCTCATTCTTCTTCTTTCTCACCGCCCACACACCGTTTTCCTCGATCGATCCGTCCCTTTCTCTTCCGTTACAGGTTCGTTCATCTTTCCCTTTTCCATTTCCCATTCCCCCACCCCGTGCCCTTTTTGTCTTCTTATGATCGGTCTTTATTAGAGCTTCTGATTGTTATATTCTTCTGAATTGTTTCGTTTTTTTGCATGCCCATTTGGTGAATTTTACGAATTTGTTTGTCTTTTAAACTTTTTCGTAATCTTTTGAATTTTGTGTTCTAGGGTTTGGGATTTGTTGTTGTAGTTGAGGAGTTGCTAGATTTGTGGAATGGAGAGTGGAATTCGTGATTTGATGCTATGGGCGTGAGGATGCCTGCATTTGTGTGTTTTGTATTGGGTGATGTTTGAGTTTATATGTATATGATTATGTTTCTTTAGCTGAAGAAATGCATTGGGGTGGGGGTGGGAGGGGGCTTTGTCTATGTGCGCATTATTGATTGATTGATGGGAATTATTGTGTCAAATTGGAAATTTGATCGGTACCTCTACTGGTGGTGGGAGATATCAGTCACCCGGTGATATGGTCGAGGTGTACGCAAGCTAGCCCGGACACCCTCGTCATTAAAAAGAAGGGAAGTTTGATATAAGAAATGGATTGAGCGTTCTGGCAGTCATTTGAAGAAGACCATTTTTCACCTCTCTTTTGTGCTGTATCATTCTATCTGATAGTAAAATTATAAGGGAATGTTGGCTTCCATAGTTTAGTGCTATCTTGTTTTTGGTCAATTGAGTTTTTTTTTGTTTTAGCTCGAATAGATGCAAACCATGCTAAGGATTGTAAATTTGCAACACGTACTATAAGTTGCAAGCAGTTTAAATTTTAGTAATACATTTGAAAGTTAAATCAAGGTGACCGGTGATTTATTCTTAGCCGTGGTGCATGGGGAGGTATTTTTGCTGCTATAAAATAGAAAAAGAAATGTTTAAGGAACTTACTAGAGTAAATGCAAGATAACAGACAGCCACTTTGAGGATGTGGAGAATATTCATTTCTTCTTAAGATCTGATTCTATGGTTGTAACACAGTTTGGTGTTTTTGATTATAATGTTGAAGTCAGTATGTATATTACTTCAGTGTGCTTTTCATTTCTTCAAAGCTCATATGCATATGGCAGTGGAAAAGAAAGGAATCACGGATAGTTGCTAATTACTTAGAAAAGGACAAAAAAGAAAAGAGTAATTCCTCCTATTGATTTTGACTAGAGGTAAAGCCAATCCCGTGCACATCTTCAGAGGCTTCTGCCAATGAAATATGTTGGCAGTTTGACTTGATATAAAGTCGTAACATGACGTTTTTAATAGCTCAATCTGGATTGTTATACACACACACACATATGGAGAGAAAGAGAGAATTTTTTGACCTATGGGACATTGAGGAATTTGTAAATGGTGTAAGAACCTGAGTGTGAGGATTTACGACATGCTATGTTTTCTAATTATAGAAGTGGCAAGGGCTTGCTTTGGTTTGATTTTGGTGTACCTGTTATTGCAAAGGATATTCTGGAAAAAATAAAAGTGAAACATTATCAATCCCTCGTATGTGCTTGTTTAATGAAGTGTTAAATAATGACATGGACTTTACTGATAAAATAAATAAGGACTTTGACCATGCATGAGATTCACATTGGTCGTCCCTCAGCTGTATCCTTTCACTTTTCTGTTTGTATTTGTAAAAATGATTATAATTTAAATTCTCAAAACCAAAAAAAATGAAAAAATAATTGTAATTTAATCAATCACTCCGCAGTTCTTAGTTTTGAGAGGAAAATCCACATTCCTGAAACTTCCTCTGTACAGCGCATTTAAGTGCCTTCTCTGTTGTTAAGCTATGCTTCTAAATCGAGCGAGAATAGTATAAATCAGTGTCTGCATATGACATATTTTAAGGTTGAATTTGTAACAACACGAGGATGGTGATTGAGTATTAAATATGTGAGCTCTTAATACTAGTCTACCATTTATCTAGTTTTTGGTCCATGTACGACATTGTTGGGGCTCATGTTATAAGTTGTGACTGTTCTTGTCAACTCGGGGTGCTAGTTAAGGGATTTGGACAAGCCAGTATTAGCATATAATAAGGCTATTCCTTTGAGTAAGTTTGATAGCTCCTTTTTCTGAGAGACCAAAGTGGGGATTATAATTTGCCACTAGAAGATGGTGAAGATGTTTATTGGTTCTAACTTCTACCAGCCAGATGATCTATGGCTCTTATAATTTCAACGATCTTACTTGTCTCCTCATATTAGGTTTGATTTATGTTCAATTGTCCTTATAAAAAAATTATGTTATTTTGCTTTGCTTGCATAGCGGTATACTGGAAAAGAAAGAAAAAGAAAAGCCTTATCGCCACTACCTCAATCAAGCGATTCTTGTTAGATTCGTGATCTAATGAACTTTTTATATATTGAAATTCCATTTTGTGACTAACCTAGTGAGTCACTAGTGCTAGTAGAAGGAAAATAAAGGTGGGCCTAAGGTGAAGGCACACGTCTTACTGCTCATTTTTACTAATTTTAAGTACAAATGAGCCATTAAAGACAGTGGAACAGCTTAATTACATACATCTCTCTCTCCCCCCCCCCTCCCCCGCGGTTGGGGGGGATAGATATATTTGGAAGTAACATTAAACATACAACTGTTGAAGGGCACAAAACAAAAGGGTGACCGAGACAAACCCATATAGTTTCTTGATAAAGTAGAAACAAAATCGAAGGTAACCCATGCTTGTAAATTGGGTTACCTGGATTGATGTTCATCTACCAATTACCTATATTGGGCCTTGGTTTTCTTGTTGGCTTAGTCTTTCACGTGTTATGTTTATTTGCTTAACTTTGCACTCTGATTGTGGTGAGGCTATAATCTCCTTTCTTGTTTTATGACCGTGCGGCCACTAGCACCACATTCAGTAGAATTCCTTTTGTCAGATAATTATTTTCTCTTCAAGTTTAAAAATTGATGAAAACATACTGTAATAACATATGTTCGGGTTTTCTCATGTGCTAGTAGGTCATTTTTCCTTTCCTCATGTGATTTTGGACAATGTTTTAGCCTATATCCTTTGAATTATCTATTATTTGAAACTTTAAACTTGTTTTCTGATTGCTATGGATTAAATATGGCCTGCTGAAATGCCAGTGTGGACATTTGGCACATGGTTGCCTAGCTAAAACTGAGGTTTTTTTTCTAGGCAAAGAACTTAAAATTATTTGGCAACTGGGTGTTGTCCATTCTCATTTGTAGTCATATCGTCTTCTTTTCTATAGTTGATATTGAGATGCAATACGAACCTAGGAAATCAAAGAACTTCTGTTTATAATCCAATATCATTGTCATTTGATGTTACAAAGATTGGGATGGGTGCAGGCCTCTACTTATCATCTGCCCTTCATTGAGACTGTTGTATTATCCTTTCCTTTGAGCTCTGCACTTCAGAAAGATACTTTTCTCTTCAAACTTGTAAAGAAAAAAAAGAAACTCGATGCATTTTTTTTTTTGCTGAAATGTGTTGGTTCAAAAAGTTAAATAGCTTGGTTCTTTGCTCCTACCGATAAAATAATGAGTATCTAATATATATTTAAAAATTTACCTTGTCTGCTTAAAGTTGCATTAGTCATTTGCTGACCTGACAGCTCCCAACTGTTATAGGTTTTGGAATTAGAAGTGCAGTAATGTCTCCGGCAGCTAGGTCCAAGTCAAAGGATAAAAAGATGAGCAAGGAACCACCCAAAGTTGCTTCAAAGCCTTCAAGTGCAAATGCAGGCGGTGGGGTTCCCACTAGTGGATACAATCCTCTTCTCGGGACATTCCATACACTTGACACAGCTCCTGTGACTTCGAATGCTGCTCTTCATGTCAATGGTCGTTTCAGAAACATTGATGAGACAGATGACCCTAGTGGGCACTCTATCGGAGCTGGTGGAGAGTATGATGTTGTTTCCAATAATGGTAGCTGGTCTGGTGAGTCGGAGGATCATAAAGAGAGAACTTCTAATCTTCCTCCCCGACAAGAGACATTACCTGGTGCTGATAATGACAAGCGGGAAAAAATCCGTCAGAAAAATGAGAGGAAGCATCAACGTCAGAAGGAGAAGCGAGCACAAGAGTTGCATGAAAAGTGTAGTGGCTATCTCATGTCAAGAAAGCTGGAAGCACTTGCTCAGCAGCTTGTGGCTATGGGGTTCTCCTTGGAACGGTCAACTATGGCTCTTATTCTGAATGAAGGCAGAGTAGAAGAGTCAGTAGCATGGTTATTTGAAGGAGGTGAAGAAGCAAACAAAGACAAGGAACACAATCTTGATACTGGGGGTAATTTGAAAATTGACATATCAGACGAGCTTGCTTGCATCGCACACATGGAAATTAGATATAAGTGCTCCAAGCAGGAGGTTGAAAGAGCAGTAGTTGCCTGCGAGGGTGATCTTGAAAAGGCTGAAGAGACTTTGAGATCACAAAAGCAGGAGCCCGCCTCTGTTCCGTCCAAGCCAGAAGAAAACCAATTGCCATTCTAACAAGAGTACCTGTAAAACCTTCATTATCTAGTACAATACCAGCAAAGAGAGATGAG